CCTCAGTTCACTTCGCAGCTTCGTTGCCGCCTGCAAACTACCATTACACCACAATTGCCACCCAGCAGCAAGGGTTGTCCTCGCCAGTTTGGAGAAGAATTCAGGGAAAAGGAGAACTACAACGTTGCCCAAAGAAGAGTTAAAAAGCCCTGAAGCCAAAGGCATCACTGAAAGCAAATCAGCTCCGCTGCACAATTGTGGGTTTAGAACATCAAATGTTACATGTTGTTTTCTATCCCTGCTTGCAGTTTTACAGCCTCTACAGGGAACGCTGTAATGTACTCCCTACAGACACACTCGATTTAACCGCTGCGCATATTTTCTGGCTGACACTGCCATTTGTACAACCTCCAGCTAGGAGGTCATGCCACTTTCATACTCAGTTTCAGTTTGGGAACGAGGCAGGCTCCTCCGAATGCCATTTTACCCCTCACAAATCTTGTCAAGAGTCCGACATCAGATCTTGCACAATCACGGAACAGGCAGAACCGCTGGGTTTGGGGTTTTTTTTTAATGCCAACATTCCCATCCAAACCGATGTTGCACTTCAGTAATAACCCTCCACTCACTAACACTAACGTATGTTGCAAAAGGGAGTCTGGTTTTGCTCAAGTTAAGGCCCAGCTCCCAGCGATTACCCCGGCCTTCGCAAAAGGTCTGCGGAGCATCACGCTTCTTCATTTGCGATGTTCCCCGCGTGAGCGCAACGCCCGAGCTCACGCTCGCACACCTAGCATCGGCGCTCCCGGCCGGCCCAAGGCTCCGGCACAGCTCTGTACTGATGAAGGCCCGTAAACTCTGGAGATGTCAAAAGAAGGGATGTAAGTTGGGAGGAAATTTGGTTTAAAAAGATAGAAAATATTTAAAAAAAAAACAGATGGAAAAAACAATCACCTTTATAATTGACACTGCTTAGCTACAAAAATCCGACAGGACACCTAGACACTGTGTAACATGGTTCACGTCTGTTATATGACCAATAATTTAATTTGAGCGACAGATGTAAAGTTATCCTCATATGAGATTCGGAAGTAGAAACTGGGCTGAGGAATTTGCATAGAAAGTTTTGCAAGGCTAATTTAATAGGTGATTTCCTGACTTGCAAGCTTAGAAACCAAAGAGAGAGGCTTAACAAGCTGACCAAGATAATGTCAACCATCTCTTTGCTGAGGATGATCGTAGCCTTATAACGGCCAGAA